TATATATATATATATACACGCATATATATGTAATTAGATAAATATATGTATGTGTGTATATATATCTATATATATGTACAAAATAAGTTTAACTCGATTGAATTCACTGACGTATCTCTACAAACTACACACATAATAACCTGCTGTCCTTGCGTGTCTCTCCTCTTGTATTCTGATTATAAATTCATAGATTTTCCAACACAATATTTCCCAACACACCGCGGTCTCCTTGTCTGTCCTCCAGCCTTCTGTCATTTCTCTCATGAGGAGCCAGAGCTGACCTTTTTTTGCCAGGATGCAGGTGGCCCCCGCTGCCCCGCAGACACTGCCGGAGCCCCTCAGGAGGGGGGCCCCTCTGCCCCTGAGCCAGCTGGTGGAGGAGAGCAGGAGCAGAGCCAATACTCCCAATCATCTACTGGAATCAAGTACATATTAAGCATGACCCCTGAAACACTCTGATGGAGTCTATCTTTACTGTATTCAGCCTCTCACTTCAACATTTTTAAAAAATATATTCACTTATTACATTTCACAAATTGCTTTTTTCTCCTTATAGAAATATATGCCAACCTGATCCAAGCAGAGCCTCCAGTGCTTCACTTCAGTGGGTTTGAGCTGGGGAAGGATTCCACAAAGATCCTGGTGAGAAGAATACTGTTAATATCCTTTTAATTAATCCTTTTTTAACTGTCTTTTCCCAGGCTTCATCCTGACATTAATCCATTTGGATTCCATCCGGGCTACATTTTGTTTAATTGAATAGGCACTAATTTGACCCCATATATACATGAGGAGGCACTGTAGACTGGATGTAAACACAGAATATGGAAATGCTTTTCTCAAGTGCACACGATTGGATGGAAAATCTCTTCTCTCCTCTTCCCCTCTCTCAGCGACTAATCAACATCTCCTCTGAAGTCGTGAATATTCACATCATCCCCACCCAAACCAAGCACTTCAAAACAACTTATACCAAAAAGGTATGCTTTTTGTTTTAATTACAAGTTGCTGACCTGAAACTAACATTACGACTCCACTTGGCAATCAGCGCAATCAGTGTCGTTTCTGATGATTCAACCTCGTTCCCATCCGTCTGCCTCCCAAGTATCGACTCATCCCGGGCCTCGCCTACACACTGAAGGTCAGGCTCTGTCCAGACGAGTGGCGTTACTTCTACGACTGCATTCGGGTTCACTGCAAGGTCAGGATCCAGCAGCTTACACACACATCTTTAGTCTTTTGGCATTTAGTGGAAGCTGGGAATCACAAATGAGTCTCTAAGGACTTTACATTGATATTTTCTGCAAAGCAAACAGTCAAACGACCACGAGAAACAATTGCTAGCTGCTTTCACTTCTCTGCTTCGATAATACGTTCCCATGTTTACTCTGAGACTTCTCTTCTCTGTCTTATCTCCGACCCTTATCGTGTTTCCTCTCTCATCTTGTTCTTTCAACCCACCCACACTCTTTCCAAGGGGGAAGAGAACCTGTTGATTCCAGTTCATGCTTACCCTGTCATCGATGACCTGCACATCCCTCCTCGTATCGACCTATCAGCCGTACCACTTGGGCAAAGGTGTGTGTGTGTGTGTGTGTGTGTGTGTGTGTGTGTGTGTCGTACAGTATGTGTTGGGATCTTCAGTGGACTGTTTTTTAACCTCCCATCTGCCTGAGGGCTTAGCTGTCTCTTTGTATTCTTCCATACAACCAAGCATGCTTCCATTCACCCGTTGGTGTCACATCGTAGACAGATGTTCTCATCTGTTTGTTTTTTCCACCTGTCTCCAGTGTTCGACGTGCGATTCCTCTGAGATGCAGCTGCCCCATCGACTTTGAGTTCCAGGTGCACATTATTGATCCCCACGAGGCCTTCTCTATCCATCCCCTTACAGGTATGGACTAGTGCAATCATCTCATTTAACATCAACCTGCCGTTTTATCCCAGTGCACAGGATTTCTACATGTTTGCGTTTTGATTTACGCTCTATTTAACTGTGATGCATTTTAGAATTTGCCTTTGAGGTGGAATGGATAAATAAAGTTGTTTTTCCATCGCCGGATCTCATTTTACTCACCAAATTAAGGAGATAACCCATCAGGAGAGCAGGTGTGCTGCGTTTCCTCAAAACCTTTGACTGGTTGTGTATTAAACAAGTCGCCACAGAACTTGAAGGATGCCTCCAGCTTCCATTGAGCAGTGTTCATGGTCTGGGAAGCATCATAACAAGCGGCGGAAACCAGCACTTAGAATTACAGCTGCAGTTTTAACTTGGGTACAAACCTGGAATGAGAGGAAAAGATACAAATGTGTATTTCTATTTTGGAAGTGCTTTTGTTTTTTTCCTCTCTACACACAGAATACACCATGGCGACGTTACACACCTACATCTTACAATTAAGAAAGAAAATAAAAATATATATACTTCTACCTCTTTAATTGGTTGCAACTGACTTAGTTTGGGAGAATTGTGTGCTGTGTGTTTAGCCAATTGTTGCTAGTATCTTAATCACTGACTGAGGAGAGCCACATACATACACAAACACCCTCTCATCCCTGTGGTCCTGCTCTTCCAGGTGTGATACCAGCCAACGGCGAAGACAAGATCATGGTGACCTTCAGTCCTTTCCAATATGAAACTTGTCAGGTCACCATCCAGCTGATCATCTCGCAGTTCAACAGCAGACCGTACCTCTGTACCATCACCGGGAGCTCCGCCCCTCACCTCACCCACAGGTGATTAGTAGATCCTAAGTTCCATATGTTTTTAATGGACTGTAACCAGGCGGCAACCTCCGGGTCTGAAAAGTGAAGCTGATGCTGAAGTGCCTTGAACTTGCACTCTCTCTAATATCCAATAGGGGGCGACTCCTGTGGTGTCAAAAAGAAGTCAGATTGTATAGAAGTCTATGAGAAAATGACTCTACTTCTCTCTTGATTTATTACCTCAGTAAACATTGTAAACATGAGTTTATGGTCTCAGTCTCTAGTTTCAAGTCTTCTTCAATACAGCATGATGTTCATTTTGTACATTATGGTCCATTTAGAGTCAAACAGACCATAAAGCAGGGGATGCTTTAGGGCGGGGCTACACAGTGATTGACAGGTCGTTGTCCACATTTTGTTTTAGAATTTGAACCCTTTCACCGGGTGTTTGTACTTCATGAAGGGTAATTGGAGCCGGTTTGGTCGCTTAAAAATGGTCTTATTCAGCATTTGGATGTACTTAGCTCTGCCCTCTCGGGTCACCTTTTGTTGCATCAAAACAAGATGGCCTACATTCTATGACTGTAGAATCTTGTTGTGTTTCTCTCCCTATGTTATCTTATGACACTCTGCTATCTCATACTGCTGTCTTTCCTCTCTCCACAAGGTCCCGCCCACTCTGTTGACATTTTCCCCTAAAGTAGAATCAGACAGTACATCTCAGTCGACTAATTGGTCGTTTTAAGATTTCTTTGGTTGATAAGTCATTTTTTTTAATGCATTTTCACGCTGAATGACTTCTTTCCAAGAAACCTATGAGCACATCACTGGTAAACACAAGATTAAAGTGGTGCTTTTATGAGATTCGTTGTAGAGAAACTCAAAATCAACTAATCTATTAGTGGACAAAATCGTGTGAGTGTTAGTCGACTAAGAATGTGTCAAATCAAGGACATCCCTAATCTCAATACTTAAGTTACAGCACACATTGCTGTTATATAACAGCGTGAACATATTTCAGGTTGAACCGAACTTAGTTCTTCCTCGTGGTGCTTCATTTGGTCGTAGAAATGAATGACAGTATGAAATGGTCTCTCCTTGCTGTCCAGTAATGAAAACAGCTCTCAGGTTGTGTGTGCAAACTCATTACCAAACTAGGTGGTCCATGTTGGGGCACCCAACTGGATTCAACTGGAAAATGGGCTTGTGTGCTGGTTAGAAGTTCCCATTAGTTTGTTTTCTTTCAGCCGGTGTGAAACCTAATGTTTAACTCCGTTCCCATGAGAAAGGATGGTGCCATCCATCACACAGCAGTAGCTCCATCCACCGCGCTATCTTGGTGTTATCTCGGCCGAAAGTTAATAATTCATGAAAATAGCTCGGTAGCCAATGCAGCGATATCAAGATGGATATGCCTCCCGATGGATGTTTAGCATATTATAAAACATTCCCCCTCTGTTTGTCGTTCCCCGCAGTGGAACCAAATAAAAGATGAGACGTGTGCTGTTGAAAGATTAAGAAATGTATGCAAGAGCCAATGTTTTCCCAGCTGGAACCAAGGGCCCGATACTCACTTGTTGCTTAGCGTCCCCTGCCTGACTTATGTGACTCAGATGGAGGCTGTTCTTAAAATACACAGATCATTTTAATATCTCGACCGACTTTGCGTCCATGTTGCATTTTCCATCAATCTAACACCCTTGCAATAAATCCTGAAATCAACCCAGTAAATCTTTGGGATGTTTATGATGTTTAGCTTGGGTGAGAAGTGTTGAGTCAATAAAGACACTCTTGTATCTATATTGAGATGTCCTGTTTAATTATCATCCAGCCGCCATTTACACAAAGGGGTCACTGACACAATCTGACAGCTGAAGAAATGTAAACATAATGAAAATGAATTACCTGGCTTCTGACCTCACAGCTCAGCCTCCCCGCTGTCCATATATAATTGTACAAACAACCCAATTTAGAGCGGCTCTCACTCTGCCACTGGAGCCCGTCCTGGACCTCAAAACAAGAACGAGCCAATTACTGGGCTCGCCACCACCTCCCCACTGTTTCATTTTCCCCATCCACTGTGTTTGTTCTTCCAGATTCTTCCACTAGAGGCCACAAATTAGCTGCAAATACTGTCACTTGCAGTCAAATGAGCGTTCTGTATTGATTAATCTATTTTCTACCATAATTAAAACAAGTTTCTCCCTGTAATATGTACTTCGGTGCTTATTTTTCTGCATCATAGGGAGCTGGGGAGCAAGCCGGGGCATGGAGATGCAGTGCCTGCTGAATACAAAGGACCTTCACCTGCCAGCCAAACGCCCCCTCGAACAAAAACCAAATACAGGTCGACCAAGGTGGCGGACAGATCCAAGGTAGCGTAAGTGGTTCAGTAACAGTCTGATGTTGTGAGTCCATGTTGTCAATAGTTATGAGAGGCTCTCTTGCACCTTCATGAAAAATGTGAAGGTCTTTAAGAACAATGTTAGATGTGCTTATTTTTATCTTGCCTCAATTAGTTTGTTGACACTTCATTTTCAATTAAGAGAAGAAAGAACCTCATTTTCTTTTAAAATGTTTAGTATCAGTACCGAGTAGTACCTTGCAAAGTGAAGCAATGGCTTGACTAAAAACCACACGTTTTTTTACCTACGATAGCCCTAATACGCCGTTGTAGTTATCCTTGTTTCATGCTGTTATCTCTTTACCCGTCCTCTAGACATTGGCAGATCAGGCTGGTGTGAAGCCTCCAGTAGATGTCTGCACTCCTGCAGGCGTGGCAAAGATGCTGATCAAAGACACGGATAAGCTCAGCTCTAAAGACCTGAGGGAAGGTAGATGGTTTTACTCTTTTAGCTGAAGGGTTTTTGTGACGTGCATGTCACCTCTACAAACCTGTTGTATGTTATGATAACGTGTTAGGGTCCTGTTATAGTCTTCTTTTGCACCGTATCTTTTCTCTGAAGTAAATAGCATTTCAGATTATCCATATAAAGTATGTCTCTTATTTTGGCGGCGCCCCCCTTTTACTTCAGCCATATCCTGTGGCAGCATGGTCGGTCTGCAGAACAGACAGATGAAGGAAGCCCTCTTCATGAAAAAGGTTCAACAAAACGTGAAGGACGAGCAAGCCAACCAGCTCAGATGGTAAAAATTAAATATGAAATAAATGTGTTATTTTATAAGCATATGCAGCATCACATTAACCACAAGCTAAAGATAATCATGATATCAAAGTCATAAAGTATGTGATTTTAGTTGTGTGTATATATATATATATATATATATTCGATTCAGGCAAGTCCATCTTGGGAAGGACCCCGTGTCAGAGCACACCAGGCGGCAGATAGCGGAGGAGAGAGAGATGGCGCTGCATGAGTACATGGTAAGATTTCACTTGATGTGGACAGAGAGAAACAGTGTGCCCTTTGTTATTCTTCCAGCTAGTTGTGTTACAGAACAGTCTAATGCAGGCTCTCAGCACTTCCTGTTTGCTGTACACCCACAGGATTAGTTTGATACTGAGGTTATCTTTAAACCAGATGATTCTGTCCTTACATGTTTACCCGTTTGTCTTGTCTGACCTCTGGTCCTTGAGAGATTCAATAGTCCTTTCCATGTAAGGCCTATTTCAGTCAACATGACATTTACTGGATGTGTCACCGTACAAATACCAATGTCATAACCCGATCCAGCTGTTGTATTATTAGATCCACGCTGTGATTTCCGCCCTGTCATGCTGCCTCTGTGACTGATTGTATTGATTCACGGGGGAAATCTGCAGACTAAGACGAAATAACATGACTTTTGAAATTTGAGTGCGTGTGTGTTTCCTCAGAAAATAGTTATTTGAATAGTTGACAGAACTCTCACAGACACTTAGCAGCACTTCCTCCCCCGACTCCTCTCCACCTGCACTGTTTATAACACACACACACACACAGCCATAAACTCTGCGTTTACAGCCTCATTTCACCACACTAGGGTATTTTATGTGCTGTTTTTATGTGAGGATGATATCTAGTATCTTCTGTATGCTGTCTTTAGAGTCTTGACTGCAGGCCAGAACATAAATAACTCAACAGAGAAGCCGTCCTCCTCTGTTTGTATCACAGTATTTACAGCTTTGTTGCTTAACCGTGATTTAGTTTCTAGGACAAGAACTCGTAAAACTACATACGGTTTGACTCTTCTTTTTGTTGTCAAAACCATAATGTCATTCTCAAATGATTTATTGATACCTTCACATTTCATTCCTACAAACAAACGAGACCGTACTCCACTGGATTAGTAGTCATGGCTGCTGTGGTTGGGAGGAATTACGACATACCTCATCAAGCTTATTCTTCCTGTGACAAAGAGACTGTTGCCTCTTCAGCCAAAGCATTCAAGGCGTCCTTACTATCGAGGATAAACATGTTGGAATGTTCTTTTTCCTTTGGCCATGCACCATCTGTCATTGACGGAACTCTGAAGGCTTTAGCAAAAAGAATAGGAAGAGCAGCATCTACTTTTAGCTTCCTGCCATGTAGCGATCTCCCTTTGTACTCTTTTGCTGCAGGTCAAAAGGGGAGATGTACCTCACGAGGAGGACTTTGCTGCTGGGAAGCCGAAACTTTCCTCCAGACGAGTGCTGTGTGAAGCCGGACAGGTAAACGTCCACCGTGGTGTGTTAAACATCGAGATAATACACAACGTTTTATTATTTTTTGTAGAAAGCACCTGGCTCTCATTGGTCTCGAATTAAATTAATCTGCAATTTGATTCAATTCAACATTCACTACTGTCATTTCTCCTTTTAAATACTCCAAGCTGAGACCTCATGAAATTTCACTTTACGAGCACATGAAAGTCTGAAATAAGTGCGACTTCTGACCTCTTCCAGGCCTGCGAGGGAGCCCCGTCCTTCCAGTTGTACCCCAGTTTTCAATGGGAGCTGAGACGAAGAGCCCTCGGACTGTTCCAGCAGGCAGCACGCAAGGTAAACACATCCAAGGGCCGTATCGTCACCGAGGTACATGTGCAAATGCATCTATGCAAACGCATTGGCATAGATGCACAGATACATCACACGCATACACATGCTCTCCCCTTCCCTCAGGAGTGGACCGGCATCCCAGCGCCCCCGTCTCTTTAGTTCAGCCTTGTGTAAGCTCCTCACACTAAATATATAATATTCTTTACAGTACAGTTGGTTTTCGTGGGTACGTTGAGTCCTACATGGCAAGTAAAGTAAAGTTTTTTTTTTGTTTTTTTTCTTGTGGAGAAGTTAGAAAAACTTTTCTTTTGGTCTTTATGTGCACCTCCTTCTGAGATTCGAGGAGGTGGATGTGACCAGGAGCTAACATCTCTCCCTTGCAGATCGTGATCCGGTGTCGCATGAACCGGAGACTGACCTGTTTGAAGAAGCTGTCAGACAGCATGAAGAACGCGCCCTTGGCAAAGACAGGTTTTATATTATCCCGTAATCTCCTCATTCAGACGTAATCTCATTATGCCATGTCACTAAAGCATGCTTAATGGAGTTCATTCCCAGAGGTAAAATTGAATCCCCCTCTGGTTATTACATGTATGCCTCATGGACAGGGTTATTTATGGTGCCGCCTGCATTCAATCATACACTCAATGTCGCAATGTTTCTCACTGACCCTCACAAATAAAGATCTGTAGAAATTAACTTTTTGAACGTATTAATTGTCTCCCCTTGTTTCAGTGGAAGAGGAGACGACTTGTGATCTGAAGATCTCGCCAGACAAAGTCTTTCCATTTGCTTTCCCTGTTTTCTCCGATGAAGATGACCCGCTGGTGAGTACATGATATAGCTCACAGCCTAACTGCAGATCAGGAGTCGTTGTGAAATATACTTTCCCATCAATGTCAAAAAATGTAATCAGCAGCCTGTCAACAGGATAGCTGAACCGCTTCTTTGTCTTGTTAATTGAACTCCTAAACCACCTAAATGGTTTGTGACATATGAAAAGCGAGTCCAGGCCTTTGTCCTGCACATTAAACAATTTTCATGCCATTTTTTTCCCTTGAAAGATGTCTCTGATCAAGCCGGGGAATCAAAGAGGAAGCTCACTTTCCAGCATTTTGATTAAATCTCTCATTTTCCAGCAGGCCCGCAGAAAAAAGGCCTCTGTGTTCGATTGAACAAATAATGCAATTTGTCTCCTTGATATTCCCAGGCTCCCAGTAATTTGGTCCCGGTGCTCGTGGACCCTATTAACGTGACTGTGACGACACGTATTCCTTTCTTCAAGCTTCAAGTAGGCATTGATCGCAGCACCGGGTCATCTCAACGTCAGGCTTTGCAATTCAACAGATATGTACTTCTCAGCAGCAGTGGTGGAAAGTACTTAAGTGTACTTGTATTTTACAAGTACATCCTTTTAATGCCACCTCCACTGCATTCCAGAGGGAAATAGTGTACCACTAGACTAAACGACCTAATTTGGCTTTTGAGGACTTTTACTTGTAATTGAGTAGTTTTACAGTACTTCTTGGTAGTAGTACTTTTACTTAGCCCTTGTGCCTCACTTTAAAAAAGGTTTTTTGTATGTCTGCGTCAAAAAACTGCCATCAAATTATATATTGATATTATTTTCTATAAGTTAAGTGGTTCAGTCTTTTAACCAACTTCAGTCCTGATAATCGTTATCAAATATTCATTTTCAGAATTTACGTTGGTGTTAAATATCAGTTTGTCTAATAAAGCCAGTGGGTGTTTTTTTTATGGAACATAACAACACAAAATGTAATTATTTTCTATATAATGCATTTTTTTTCCACAGTCTGGGAAATGTCAATGATTAGCAACATTGATTTTGATGCATTTGAATTTTTTGTGCAGCAAACCAGGATCATAGCATGTGTTTGCCGCGCACATAAGAAAATGGCTCAATGTGATGGAACGTAATAAAGATTTTAATTTTGAAGCCAATGGTCTCGGTTGAAAGCCTGATATAATAGAATGCATAATTCTATCTTGTAATGGAAAATATATTTATTATTTAATGGGTTCCAATGGGGACATTTTTGTCCTTAAGGGACTTGGTGTCCGTATTTTGGCTGCACAGTTTATTATAGACTTATTATAGGGGCTACGGTTGAACTTTCAAAATAAGACAAAATATATAATATATACGAGTACTCCCTACTACACTGCCCAACAAGCATAATACATTTAGAGTATATTTAATGTATTCTGTGTTTGACATTCTGCTTACTTGATTTTACATTTCATACTTTGAACCTGTGACCTCGTATTTGACTGTCTATATGAAATGAATGCAGTATAGTTTTGTCTTAAAAGAGACTTGGAAGAAGCCCTGCGGCTTTGCAAACACCTTCTATATGCGAGATACTCACTAGCTCTGTGTTTCCCTCATCTGCTTTGCTCTGTTTCTACGTTCTGTCGCTGTTCTAACCATATTCATTGTTGGTATTGTTCCGCCACTAGGTTCCCCAGCACTATAAGCTCATGGGCTACCGGCCTGTATCAGCCTGGGATGCTTTTAACTCTTATATGCCCACCACTCTGGCCAGACCACTTCGCACTGGAGCTCCGGTAACTCTGCAGTTCCTGGATTACATCATACAGATTTCAATATTAGAGAAATATATTTATTCATTTATTTCTTTGCTCATCCACTGAACCTTTTTAACATGTCTCTCACTGTGCTGTTGTCACTTTTTAGGACGAGCTGGTGCCCAATGAGGTCGGAGCGCAGTCTCCCACGACAGTGGAGTCCAAAGCATGGGAGGAAGTGAAGGCTGCCCGTCTCTCCTTCAGCGCCCCCGAAGCTCTGCTCAGACCTTTTCCAGCAAACCCACTCCGAATCTTCGTATGGCTGTCATTTACCATCGTTGATACAAAGTCTGAAATAGAACGTGAAATGTGTTTCTGTACAGGATACATGATGCATATCGGTATGCTCTAAACTACTGTTGCTTCCGTGTTCATTTCATGCGTTTTAGAACCCAGATCCAGGCCTGCAGACCTACAAACCGACCCCTAAATACCTGGAGAGTGAGCTGGAGTTCCACCTCTGCCCCCTGCCCAGGTAATAACAACACATGAGTAAATAGATATTTATGGTTATATACTGTAAGTCTCTGTTTAAGTAAGGAAAACTATTCTCTGTGCTTGCATTAGATAATGCCCAGTTATAGACCGGATTGTTCTGCTTTCTGTATGCAGGTATACAATCCCTAAGAGTGACAGACGGACACAAACCCCACACACTCAGAAGTCTCTGGACCACAGGGTAATTTATTTTTGGAGAGTTTGCATAAATATATGCTTTAATTAGAATATTTTCACCACTGTACCTTTCCGTCAGAGAGTCCTTTCTGATGGACTATCCGTACTATACCTTTAATCTGAAACCAGCTCCTGTTTTATTTCTGATTGGACTAATCCAGATGTGGCTTGTGTTTTTTCTTTACCACCAACAGGAAGTGATCGAAGGGCTCATGACGTGGAAGGATTTTCATTCGCTTACCTCAAAGTGTCTGTCCAACCAACCAGCTCTCACCAGCGACTGTGCCTCACGCAGGTAGGCCAGAACTAAACTTTATCATGACTGTCAAGCTGTACCAGAGGGCCCTCACACTGTACTGACAGCAGCCACCCAGAAGTTAAACCGCAGAGAACCTCCAACTGGACTCTGGTGGGGAGAAAAAGTACTAGCACATGTTTACACTACTTGTTTACAGAGGGGAAAGGGGCTGTTGTTCACTTCTGCCGTCCACATCTTTCCAGCCCGTGGAAGAATTTGAACTTATGACCTTGTGGTAGCGAGTCATTCTAGCTTCTCCAGCTTTTGACTTTGTCAGAAGTAGCATTTTCCTACATGTAATATAACAGTATGTAGAGTCGGGTGCATCTCATTGTCTCCTCTCCCCCCAATCACACCCAGTCAATCATTCTAATGTTGTCCATCTGCACTCACACTGAGATCCTTTACATGTCGGACGCAGGCTCATCTTGCTGCTTAACAAGTGGTCACTTGGAGTCGACATTAATCTTCTTGGAGTAAATATTTATCCTGTCAAATTGCCAAGAGAAAGCTTGAATACTTAATAGCTTGAGATGCCATTCATCATCTCACAGGCAGCGTCACAGACTGTTACATTTATGTTGCGTTGATGCTTCAGGGTTGATCGCTCTCCGTGGTAGGAGTTGTGGTGTGGCTGCTCTTTGTGGGCGCAGTCGGAGGCAGACTTGTGTTTTGTTGGATGGTGATTTGTACGATGGGAGCGTAGATGTGTGGCGTTTCCTTCTGTCGTCTCCACTTGTTTATTGCACAGCTTACGAATCACTACGTTCACTTTCTCTGGCTCTCCTTTTTGTTGTTTGGTTTGAAACCCCCAAAAATAAGGTGCATTTGCATTATTTTAAGGAGAGCAGACACCTTTTCTGCATGAGTTAGGGCTACATGGGTGATTACTAGTGTTGTACGGAATAGTTTGAAGCTTCATTCATAACGCTGGCATTCAAATTTTGATTATTAATATCTTACGTGCAGCAGTCTACAAGCTTCCACCTTCTCTTCCCCTCTCCCTATCAAACACACACACAGCGAGTGTCCTCGTCTCTGTTAACATATCGGCCCAAAAGTCCACATGTGTTGAAAAAAGATAAATGTCTTAATTTCCAAAATTCATAACAGGCATAATTGTATATCGTTCCGTTATCGTGGCCAACCACTATCATATCTTATTCACATCTATATGAATGCTGTACAGCACGTTTGTTCTTCTTGTATTCATCAGTTCTACTTTCGTTAAATAGTTCCTGAAGTTTTATAATTTTCACATCAATCTTGTGTTCTCTGATTTCATCAAAACACACACACACACACACACACAGTTTCTCTTGATTGCAATGCACATTTGATTGAAGTGCGTTGATACCACTGCAGTAATCTGCCCTAGTTTCACCTTGTTTGACTTATTTTTCAAGGAAAACATGAATTTAAAACCTGATGTTGTACTAAAGACACCGTTTGTGGAGGAACGTATTGCCTGTAGCAGTATTTTATACTGAGAGTGAAATACTTTGGCTGTGCAGAATCTAAGAGCCCAGCACACTGCCTTCACTTACACCGCCAAATGATGATTCATTCAGTCTTGAGCCTAAATGGACAGTGAATAAATGATGATATTTTGCCCTGGTGTATTAGTGAACACAGCATGGGGCTGTCCCATGTGGTGCACTGTATGCTTCTCTTTGCACCCTGTCACAAGGAATACCACACGCTATACATTCTGGTTCTGACCTTTCAAGGAAATTCATCTCATATACGTTGTCATTTTTTCTCACATGAAACAATTTCCAGTCCTCATTTGACCAGATTCCCAAGTTATTAGGGCAGCTGCTAACGTACCCGCGAATGCGTGGGTTTGAATCCGACTCCCGCTACAGCCCTGTCTCCTCACCTTTCTGTCTGCTTCCCATTTCTCCTCACCTTCCCCGCGTTACATAATCAGATGCCTGGCAAGGCGACGTATCCTCTTTATGCCTGTCAGCACCGATCTGTGCGGTAACCGTACGTATATTCTTCTTTTGTCATGCGAGAGATGACTCTCGCCCTGCTCAGTCAAAACAGTAACTCTCTGGGTTCAACTAAAGCCCTAAATACATGAGTTTGATTCGGCTTCGGATCACCAAACGTCCGACAGACACTGTTGAGAGACACTCAACACAGCACGTTTAGCAGCTAAAGAGCCAGACATTTCCCTCAGGAGTTGGCGGAGACTTCAAACAGGGCCGAGAGGGAGCGAATACTGGACTCGCATTCATAAACCGGACACAATCTAAATGAATACTAAGTACTGCATACTACATCACTATGTACTGCGGACTCATTTTAGGATTAAGTATGCTGTTACCAGGAAACTGTTCACGCTGATTTCTCTGCATCACATGACTATTGATCAGGACACTATCAGGCCGAGCCAGCGTTGAATGAAAGTTGTTACTACATTACCTCTTCTACTCAGTGTTATATTTCCCAGTATTATTTTACGTTGAATAGAGATTATTTATGTTAGTGTTAAATATTCTACGGTACATAATGTTTGTCATCTTCTCCTGCGTTTCCTCTTCTTTGTACTTTCATGTCACCTGCCATCATTTCTAATTATTTCATCCAACCAGTTAATTATTGTAGCCGTCTGCCTCGCAGTCCACCATGACATGTATGTGCAGTGAGCTCCTGCGTCATTTCTCTCGTACACAAAGTCTAATTCTATTTTGTGCCCGTAAGTGGCATCAACTTTCACTCTGGAGATCCTTTATCATTACCGATCAAACTGCGATTTTAAACAACCCTAAGCGCTCCTTTCATCTGAGTGAGATGGAGTAGATATCTGACCGTTATCTCGTTGCGGTAATGTGTGGTCTGGCTCTTCAGGGGATAAAGCACTGTGTGTGTCCTCTATAGGTCTGTCGACTACAGCACAGATACACTTCCACTCACAGCGCCGCCTCCTCTCACCGGCCCTCCTGAGGATCTGCCACCACTAACGGACAAACCGTAAGCACACGCAGCATTGGCATCCATCGATCTTGTTGTTGGAGGCTTTTCTCTGCTTTCCCGCTCAGATCATGTGTTTGTCTTTGCTCAGGTGCGAAGGCTCAGGGGTGCAACTAACACCAGAGATTATCCGAGCAGAATTCTCCAATAGCAAGCTCACCAGCAGAACAACAGTCAGGTAACGAAGACAAAGATCACTCATGTTATTTACATGAAGGAGGCACGTCCTATGCAATAAATAAGATGGATGTTTAAGCATAGCCACATACAGACATGTTGTGCTTTTAGTTTGAAGAAGGGGAGTCCTCAGGATAAACCAAACATGATGAATGTGCAAATCGTGCAGCTGGTGTTCCGTCCCAACAAAAGCTTCCTGGAAGCAGGAACACTCTGAAGCTACTTCATAACAATGAAACAAATACATTCAATCTTGTTTTTGTTATTATCTTTCATCATTAATCTAGATTTATTTTATACTTTATTTATACTTGTGAAAATTCAAAGTAACTTCTGGATCCTCTAACAGTCTTTCAAGTCTAGATATTTATGATGATATCGGGATTCTGGGCTAAAATCACCATAATATTGCATATTATTAAGGTTGATCCAACCTTGCAAAGTGATGCGATGAGGTTCCTTGACAAAAAAATCCGCAATTTCTTCTGGCAAATCTTGATTTTTCAAAATATTTTTCACATAAATTTACCACTTTAATCTCAGAGAATATCCTAGTTTTTATCTTGTGCATTTAGGCCATGACTTTAATCTCTCTAAATATTTATAATATTTTAATATCATTTTGTGTCTAGAGGACATTTTTTAACATATTTTGTCAAACGAATGCTAGGTCTGGCTGGGATTACTCTCATTTGAAAATGCTGCATTTTTTAATCAACAATACTGCTTATTAGCGCTTAACTTGCTTAATGGGGAATGCTGAATCAGCCTCTAGTTTACCAACCGGTCCTCTTGACCACTTTGAATTCCTCCGTCTCTTTCATCGCTCCGTCACAGGCACCAGAGGGAGCTTCAGATGGAGTTCAACCAGATGGGGAAGAGAGTGATGGCCAGGCTGAAGCACTTTAGAGTCACTGACACAACTTCACCGGGAGAGGACTGTGAATAAGCAAAACACCCCCCCACACACTTCCAGAAACACCTCCAAATACGCTCTGTACACACACACACACACACACACACACACATGAATAAATACAATCGCAGCATTACAAATACCATCCTACTCACCGATAGGAGACTCTACATTTTTTGCCACTTCCGTGGAATAAAACCTGGTTACTTTATCGTCCACGCATAAGCCTCTCTCCCACCCACTCAAAATTACAGGAAGCTATTCCTACAAAGCCTGGGAATTCGTTATCCCTCCACCCACACCGGTCCATGTATAAGCACAGTTAGAGTATATTCTAACAAGCTACCTAACGTTACCGACAACTACATTCAGTTCAAAACGATAATTCTGCGTCTCTCTGCTGTAGTTAATGGTGTCGTAGAAGCGAGTGAGCAACATGAAGCTTATTTCTGTTAACCTGTATTGTATTGTGTCGTACTGGTTACAGTTAAACATTATTGACTCTTTTTGTTCTCAATGCAATTGCATTAAAAAGTCATGAATAAGTGTTGGTTTTGTGTTTTGTGATGAGATTTCCGTTAAATGAGTTGTTAATATCGATTTGTGCTCAAATTCGACTTTATGTAACCACTCGCTGATTTATAGCCAGTCCAGGATATTACTTCGAAGTGAATTTTGAAACCTTGAAAGTTGACTATAATAAACGTTTGTATTCATGTGGTTGTAAGAAGAGATCTGCTTAGGTCCGAATTAAATGCTCAAAAGAGCTGACATCCTGTGAACTCACATGTGACCGCGCTCACCCCTAGAGGGAGCTCCAACTCTGTGAGTTCCACAGTTAGAGGAAGACATCCACATTTATTTCTCCTTCACTGTGTGTGTGTGTGGGTCTGTGTACTCACTTAATGGCAGTGTGCTTTAGAAACATAGAGTGGAAGGACACTGCTCCTTTGAACTCCCCTCTACAGACACAAACACTTCACATACTTAATAATAGAAAAGGTCACATTCTTTAGACATGGGGCTGGACCCACACATGGATCCTATAGCTAAACTGCTTCACTGTCAGAACACAGCGATGCGACACTAGAGGGGGGTTTAAAGGACAGAGCTTTCACTGCAGCTAAAGAAAGAAAGAAAGAATCCATTGAGATATTCATTGTACAACATGTCATCGTATTTTAGCGCGCTAGCACAGGTTGAGACCTGGAAGATATTCATGGGAATCAATACTATAACTTCATATTTAATGAAAGCCACAGCATTGAATAAGTAATAGATTGTGTAATAATAGTAACAGGTGTGTGTGTGTGTGTGTGAGAGGAAACTGTATGTTTGATGTGTGCAAAGAGATGGAGAGAGAATGAGGAGATATACAGTACTACAGCCTATTACAGTCAGTCTGTATAATTCATTCATCCAGCAGTCAGCAGCTACCATTTCCAGTAAAAAAACAAAACACGGTTCCTTTTACGGGCCACTTTACCGTGAAGCTTTGACCCCGTTAATGTACATTTCTTTTCTCCAAAACTGATGGAAACATTAGGCGAACCGCTGGCAGGGAAAACAGGAAGTGTTGTTTCAGCCGGCCCATTTGTCGGTCACCCCATTTCAAGAAAATAGCCTCGCCCGGTTGACACGCTCGCCACGATGACCTCGCCATCCTGAAAAGCTCTCAAAGAAATAGGACAGAGCGAGAGCTCGTTTGTGAGGCAGTCTGCCTCTGTTGCCATCTCTGACCAACAGCAACCTACAGCAACAGATGTGATTGCAACTTTTAGCAGCATCACCCCCCCTTCTCTCTCTCCCTTGAACGCACTCCATCCCCGACTCGCAACCGCCACTCTTCCTCGTGGCGGCTTCTCACTTCACACATTTCAGTGAATTCCTCCATAAAACTTCCTGGGAGGAAATTGTGGTGGTTTCGGTGGGCTTCGCCTCACAGTAATGGCCCCTCAGAGATACCACGTTCTCCCTGAAAATTCTTTGACTGGCAACCCGGAAACTTCTGTCACAAGCTGAAAACACGTTTGTTCCGACTTTGAACAAAGTCTTTGGCGTAGTCCGTGTTTGAAATGGCTTCAAGTAGAGCTTTGAACGTCTTTAAGACCTGGTTTGTTTGGCCTTGAATATAAAGCATAGAAAAACAGCTTATTGCCTATTTCTTGAAATCATTTTGAATTGATGTCCGTGTTTTCAGCCAGAGAGAGAAAAGGAAGGATTGAGGGTTTATTGAAATGTGTCAGGACACTGTGTGTGTCTGTAGGGACCCAGTGATGAAAAACATCAAATTTCGGCCTTGGTGCCATGTCAGCAGTTTATCCGCCCTGAACAACTATGCTCTGAATAAAAGCCCTGACATCTTCACCGACTCTGAGCCGAGGGTCATGCTAATGCAAAGCCTGCTCTGCGTCCTGTCCTTGATGATAGAGAGGCATAATGGCTGTGGCTGTGTCAAGGTGCCACGAACCTTTTGGCAGAGTGCAAATCTAAAAGGCACCGTCTAAATGAAGCAAAGCGCGCTTCTGTCAGAACTGGGTGCATTTAAGAGGGAGGAACAACCGAGTCGGCACGACACGGACATGTCTGTGAGTGTCCCTCTCAGGCCGATACACCATAAACAAATATTATACCAGAGTACCAAGTATCTACACGCTGCAGTAACTACAACAGCTGACGAGTTAGCCACAGCTAGCTTTAGCTAAAACTACGCTACCACTTATTTTTCTCTCGCTGTTGCCTGTTTTTGAAATGCATTTAATAAAAAAAAAAACCACATCTTTGTAATTCAATGCACATAACTAAAGCTGTACCGCTGCTAATGCTAACTAGCTTAGCAGTGCAGTGGCGCTACCGTCTCAGCTTTGAAGCCGGAGGAATTCTTGCTATTTTATGTGGTTAAGATACCTTTAACTCAAATATTTAAATATGTTGAATTAGAAATACATTTGTGATAATGGTTTCAATAAATATTAACTGTAGATTGACAGGCATTGAGCAAAATAGATTCTTATAAGCTGTGTTCTGTAAATAATAACGATAGACATTTTTTTGTTAAACAAAAATGGACAAGAAAGTTAAATGATGACAGTTTATTTTTAGATATAACACATTGCCCTTGCATGCTGTGGAGGCGTTCTGAACATTGTTTTAGGTTGGGTTCATGTCTGGGAGAAAGATAGTGTGAAAGCAGGAGCACATGCACTAAACGTGATTGCTTCACGATTGAACAGCTGATTTATTCTTTCATCTTTCATCAATTCTTAAATCTACCTTACGGTGCTCAAAGGGAGTGAACGAGTTTGTGATCTTGAAGAAAAAAAGAAGCCTGACTCTCAGCATCATAATTTGGACCCAGAGTGCTGTGTGATTTTTTTTTTTTTTTAAAAAAAAAAAAAAAAAAAAAGTGAAGATTTAGTCTTTCTTACTCTTATTGTGGTGCGAAAAGCTTTTTTTTTTTTTTTTTTTCTCTCTACTTTTTCTTTTAAAAAGCCAGAGTCCTCATCTCACCATAGGCTGCAGCATTCCTTCATAAACTTTAGGAAATGATGAGTCACCTTTAAGTGAGCTGTACGGAGGTAGTCTTTCTTTGTTTGACGCACTTAAAATCAACTTATTATGTGTTGAATGACGTCTTGTTGTCTTCTCCAGACATAATGACCTTTTCTTCAAATGTCCTTTTTTCTCTTAATCATACTAAACCTTCCAGTGCCTCATAGGAGGCAAGACTGAGTCCCTCAGTGATTAGAGTACATTCTTTAAATTGCACTTAACTACCTTCATCTGTGACGCATTAGTGTTCGCAGTGTTAACATGTGGTATTTTGAAATGTCAGTGCTGTGCGACCCTTGACAAAGCCTGAGGCAATGCAAAACTTGGTTGCGGTGCTTGTGTTGCTATCAGTCTCTGTTGGTTTTATAAAATGTTTAATCCTTCCTGTTAGCGTCTTCTTAATAGCATCATTCAAACATGTAAATCTACAATTAACTCAGGCAGGATATCAAGTTTACAGTTTCCTGGTTGGTTGATTGAACTGAGCTTGAACCACTCGAGATGGATACGGAACATCAACAGTCCTCCATCTCTCACTGATGAAATATGTCCCCCCTTGCCGTTGCATTAAAATGATAAGTCAGAGATGTGATGGGATAGAGTCTTCACTCGGCCTTGCCACTGGGTGTCTTTATTTCAATTTCCCCAAAAGATCAGTTTAAACGTAGCCCCCGATCAGCCTCACCGCAGCAACGCCGGACAGAGCTGAGGCAGAGGCGGATCGTCTCGGCTGAAGGTGAACCATGACCTGTAGGTTCTGGCTCAATCAAATCCCTCAAACAGCGGATGAGTTTACCTTCAGTTTGAAGCCCCTTTACCTCTCTGACAGAATTTACTCCAAAGAACCCGAATACTCCGAATCACAGAGATTACTTGCTGGGTGTTTCTTAGGCTTAACACCACATGTGAAAGTGGAGATGACTGACAAACAGAAGGATCCAAATAGGAAAAACCCAACCGGCAGATGTCTCAATGCCCAACCACAGACGGACTAATACTGTGGATTCTGAGAAAAAAGGCTAAACAGAGTCTGGGTACTCTTAAGTACAAGTTAGTAACAGGGCTAAGGGATTGTTTGTCTATCCATGATGTCCTTCATCTAGAACTCACTGTTTTTGTTTCTGAAGGGCATCAGATAATATGTACTCATGCTATGTGTACACGTTGAGTGCTAAAAGGACTACGTTGATTCTGTTCAACTCCACCCCTATTTTGGAGCAAAACCGCCTAAAATGACATACCCAAATTAAAATGGCTATAGCTTCTGAACCACTGACTATATGCATCAATGAGGTCTTGCTAGAAAGAAAACCCCCTAAGGTTCCTTGGAAAAGTGTCAGAAAACCTGTCGGTCATACAGAAACGGAGCAGTGGGCCTTTGAAGTCAGTACAAATTTAAGATTTTTGTCGGCCTAAAATAAAGTATCTTTCAGTATAAATAACTGCCTGTGGCTGTATCTGTACAGGTAAAGGACAGTATAGGGCTGTAACTACACTATCAGTGAACAACTGCCTCAAATTTGAAGAAGATTGGACAAAGTATGATCATTCTACAGTGTTTATTCCATGAAGAGATCCAGGCGGAGCTCTAAAAGGATATTTGGAGATCCAAATGGACACACGGTAACCAAATGATATTCTGACACACTAAAGGTGTTTCTCCCTTTATATTTCGATATATTATTTTCCTTTTATTTTTAGCCTTTGCAAATTGCAAGCAAGCCGTAGGAACGGAAGGGGAGGGGATCGAGGACGCCAGACTCCTCGCGGAGTTGAACAGGTTTTAATAGATGAATACTG